TCAATAGTTAAAGGGTATTTGAGAGCAACAACTATTATATACAAAAGAGTAACTGTATCAAGTGTTGACATTTATTTCGGCTTTATTTGGCCAACGACGCGTCGTCATGTGGTTGCTATTGCCAAAATCAAAAGTACGCCGTGTAATGACTGTAAAGATATTCACACACCTCAGCGGGCGCATAGACATCATCTGCTCATGCAATTGTTGTTAGCCCAGTTTTCAATTGTTGTTGCTGGGTTGCTTAGCGGCGCATGAAATATACATATATACACTTCTATAGCTAGAGTCTATTAATATGCATGTGAACCAATTTGTATTAATTTTAGAAAAATATTCTGGTGTAGTCTGACGCTGATTAATGCGTCATTTCCAGTTATTAGCTTTGCATAACGTTGCCCCAAGATTTTTTGAAATTTATTCTACATTTTTGGCATTACTTTGAAAAACAGCGGCACCCAGAAGTGCCTAAACTGAATCGCATTATACTGTGATATATGTTAACTAGTTATTTTGACCAACTGAAAACGCAGTGGCTTGACATTGGCCACATATCGTCGAGCTTTCACTATTATAAGTGAGTTCACTAAACCCGTTAAGACTAAAACTGGTTTTAATCTTGTCAGTTATCTTACATATTCTATGATATGAACTGTACAGCGTTTTCAATAGTTTCGTTTAGTTCCTACTTATAAATTACTTCAGATAGGCGCCACTCTCAATATGCAAAATATTTTGCAAACTATAAACAAATGTGTGGATTGTGCTAATGAATCGAAAGGCCAGATATATACAAAAGAATCGATACTATCGATAGTATTTCATTAGACATATGCTAGTACTCTCTAATTGAATACTGTTGCCCCTTCAAACATTATTACAAAATTAATTTATCGACTTACGTTTAAGCAGATATATCGATAACTATTATATATTGCTTATGGCAATCGATACCTACTAAATGAGAAAGGCATCTAAATTTTTAGTATAATTTATAGAAAAAATATTAAAAAGCTATTTTTTACAAATCGATAAATTGTATTGTTTATGTTATCGATAACTGAAAAGTTTAACAAATTAAATAATCGCGAAGATCGTAAGTTTCTCATTCATATTCTCACAATTTTACTCAGTGTAGTGTATATTCCACGTCGTTCTGCTAAGTTTTGCTTTCATTTGAATGTTGATTGAAGAAAATTCATATATGAAGCGGGTTTTCCCTCAACTATCTTTTGTTTTTCTTTATGTAATGGAAATGATGTTGCTGTTGTCGTTTTTGTTGCCTACGATTAGGACATATTTCGTTCGATTACTTAATAATGCAGCAAAGTAAAATCACATTCTTTCTTTTAAATTTAAATGTAAATATAAAACATTTCCAATTTTATTGCTCAAGCTTTAAAAAAATAGAATGAATTTCTAAACATTTCGAAAAATGTTATGTTAATAGAATATATCAAAAATGTTTTTTAGCTCCGGGTTTAGCACCTGCTGTGCAGACAAATAACTCAAAACTAGTTTTAAGGCTTAAGTCGTGTCTTCCGCCTACTTAAAGCAAAGCACTTGATCTGCGAAACGGACTTGCCAATTGTGTTGCCAAATTATTAACTGCTTTTGGCTGGAAATTGTGCAAATTTGCCAAAGGCCACAAAACAATCAAAGCACGAACGAATCCAAATGAAAAGTCCAATTCAAACGAAAGCCATTCGCAGCTTGGCAAAGAAAAACGAGAGAGAAAAATGTTGCAATGCACCGCGTGAAATTGTGAAATTTCCCCGTAGGATTAATAGTTGAGCCAACTCGTTGACTTTAATCAAAAAAAAAAAATTAAAAACTGTTTTACATACGTGTGCATTTAAAGAAAATCGAATGCATAAGCTTAGCTGGACAGGAAGTGTGAAGCAGTCCGATTGGAAAAGTCGTAGCAACATTGAACTTGATCAGTGACGGAACGCCAAACTTGCGCAACTTGTTTTCAGGCCCAACTTTATCTTGTAATAAATTATGCCATTAATTGGGTTAAAAGTGCGCGTAATATCCGTTTCGATTCCGAATCGAGTTTTTGGTACTCAGAGAGTGCGGACAATTTATGCATTTAAGTAAAAGTGTAATGTCACGTATTCGTCTAACAGTGCTTTCCATCAGTTTAAGATCGCATTATATCAATTATCCAATTGCTAATCAAATTCACGTACGATGCTGACCCGCCGCCGTCACCGTCGCCGCTGCACATTGAGTGAAATTTCGAATTGAGAAACTTGCGAGCGTCGTTGAAATCATTTCAAAGTCATTGACACAGGCTGCAACAAGCCGAGGCGTTTCCGTTTAACTACCTCGGCAGAGATACCATTTTTCTACTCGCTGATTTGTGTATCTATGCTCCTAACTTGTTCAGAAGGTATCATGTTTATGTGTTCAGTAATTTCGAAATATAGATTTTTAATATGGAACGATTGGGTCTTACGCATTGATCTCTAGGAGTAAATGTACGAAGCACAGAAGCTTCTTATTACCAGTGATTTTGGAGGCGAAGAGAAGCGACGACTCATATACAAATGTTTGTCATATTCATATCCTGTGGCTCTATTTCAAAATAAGCCAGTGGCAGGGTATACGTTAGTCGAGCACATGCGCATACTTTTATATACTTTTACGTGCTTCTTTTTTTTGTTTTCAGCGATTTCGGCAAACATTTTACTTTTTCTTTTCGCCAGTGGTCGAGCTGTGTTTGTCCACGCGCGGCAAGTGAAAAATCTTGTTTTAACTGGCGCTGCAGCTTGAGCGCTACAGCATTTTCCATGCAGCTGCCCCCAGGTGGGCGTTGCTGCCACTTCGACTACATTGCGAGTTGGCTGTTGGTCGCCACCTGAAGACCATTATTCAAGTTTGGTGGCCAAAAAAGTGTATAGGTATATATATATGTATATATATACAAAATTTGTTAATTTTCCCGAAAGCCAAAAAGTTGACACTCAAATTATGTTGTAAAATTACGAGAGATTTACAGTTCACGGTAATTAGTGGACGTGAACGTGAATTTGTTTGTTTGCTTGTTGCCATAATATATTTAGGAAGTTATTAACATAATGTCAAGGGAAAGTGGTGCCAGTTTTTGCCTTCTTTTTTATCTTACATTTATCTTTATTATGGAAATGTATATAAACAGAATTTGTTGCAATATAACAGGTTAAATGTAATTATTTCAAGTAATCAATCTTGAAGTCTTATACAAACTAAAAACTGACAAGAGTGAAGTGAAGACTGACTGATAAATCACATAAATTCCTGAGTTACTTGAAGATTATTCACGTTAATTAAACGTATTTTTAGAATGCACAGCAAATAAACGAAAATGTTGGAAATTTGAGCACAAATATAGTATAATAAAAGCATATCTTACAGATATTTGTACTTTAAGACACCTAAACTATATATATATATAATTGAATTCTCTTATATAAACCAAAATTATCATAACTTTTAAGAAAACTAATCTAGCTTTCATTGCTAACTTTTCACTTGCAAGCACACGTACAGACCTCACACACGCTGCTGCCTTTTGACTACAAAGAAAGCTCTCTAGCATGCACTAATACATGCGCATACACTTACACATACAACTGCAGTTGATAGCACTGCTTGGGATATTTCGCAACTGCTTGACAACTGTATTCTGTTTTGTTTGAGTTCTCCTTACTTCGTATCAGTTGGCTCGACTCGACTCCTGCCGCTTGCTGCCCCTGCTTAATATATCAATGGCAGCTATCCCCAGAAAACTCCCACGAAAGCGCATTCCGCACGCTAACGAGCTGCATAAATTAGCTGCATATTTTGCAGTTGCAAATGCAGTGCACACAAAATGTTGCACGTTTGCCCCAAGACACACGAAGCCCCCGCACCAGACACACACACACACACACACACACACACCTAGACAAGTAAAAATGCTGCTGTTGGACAGTTATGCGACGTTGTAATTCGTTGGCTGTCAATGAATATGATGAATCCTATTTAAGGTCTACAGCCGCATGACGTCCATGACGTCCACATTGTGTGTGTCTGTTGCACATTGCTCAATCGCGCAACGTTCAGCGAATCAAATGCCACTCTGCGCACGTATTTGGGATATTTATCATTTCCACTAGATCCGGTATTAGCGGCCGCTTATACATAATTTTCAAAATGCGACCAGCTCCTGGCTCCTGGCAATGGTTTGTTCAATGGTTGGACAATCGCGCAGCGCATCGCTTTGATTTTAGTTGACATTTCGTAATGTCCTCGCCAATCCCTGGGGCCAGCGAGAGAACTCGTTGCCAGCTGTTGCCTGCCCCCTTGGGGCATTGCATAATTTCTAGCCAATATTTACCGAATGTGTAGCAGCGACATTTGCGACCTTGCTCCCGTTGAAGCACCCAAGCTAAACAGCCTCAGCTGCAGCAGCAGCGGCCCGGTGGCAAACGGTAAAACGAGTTTGTCGACTAGCGGTATAAACGGGTAATTATACTCTGAGCGCATTGATAATGAGGGAACAGGGTATATTGGCTTTGAGCAGGTGTGTGGAACAGGAGGAGGCGGAGATGTTGTGTGTTGTGATTATCTTATATTCAGTTAACTCTGTTGAGGTATTGGAAGACCTGAAGGAGTTAAGTCAACAGTATATATTTTCGAACTCTCCCTACTACTATACTATTCTATTTGATCTATATATCTATCTATTTGATTAGGTTTAGGTTTCACTTTGAAAGCTGGAGAGCTATGGCACAATAGGAAATTTGTGTTTAGCCTACATCAATTATTAAAAACAATTTGTTTGTGGAAAAACTAAACTAGATATTTATAAAATAGATTATACAATAAAATTATATATATAATTATATATTTAATTATATAATAAATAAAATTATACAAATGCAATTTTGAGCTCGATTTCAGGGTACATACTAGTCGAGCATATCCCACTAGAGCATTCTTACTTGTTTTTGATTTTGATTTGTACTTACCAAATGCCAATGGCAAGAGCCAGCGACAACTGCTATGGCTCGGACTTCGCATTTTATTTGTCTTTGTTTTTTTGGGATTCTTCTGTTGATGGTGATACTGGATCGCGTTTATAAATCAACACGTCGTCTTGCTATTTCTTTCTATTTTGGTATTTCCAGATACTGATTAGCAAATACATATAACAATTTTATGGGCGGATTAATCTAAACAGAAATATCAACTTAATCGATTTCATTTGAATAGAAGAAAGCACCACCAAAATAAATAAAGTTCTGTTAGTGGGCGTAACAAACATAAATTATATATGAAACAATAGTAATGCTGTTAATAATAATAAAAAAAAGAGAATGTCTAGCTTTATATTGTTTCTAGGTGTGGGCTTTTTTGGAGTGTTAAAGGTGACAGTTTTTCGATGCAATAGAATCACAAGATTGACAAGAAAACCTATTTGGAAAGTTGACAAGAAGTTTTGACTTGAGAGTGAAATTTGTGACTTGAATTGGGCATGACCCAAAAAATTTCCAAATAAATTCCAATGAATTGTTTATAATATAGAAAAACTAAGCCTCTATTAACATGATTTTTTTCTAGTATTTTTTTTTTTTGCAACATTGCCAATTCATATTTTTATTTTATGGCCTTTTGACACCTAAAATTACAAAAGCATTTAAGCTAATTTGTCGCTCTCTCCCAATAACCAAGCAAATAAATAAATATAAACGAAATGTTTCTCTATCGCAGCAAATTGGTGCATAAATCTGTCTATTTTATGGCTTGCCTCTCGACAGATTATTCAAAAAGGGCTATTTGTATTAGGGTTCGCTGTGTCATAGCTTTTTCGGTATATTTTCACTTTTCATTGTTGTTGGCTCTTAACACACAATAAACTTAATTTTATAAGAATTTTTTAGTCAACTTTCACATTGCTGCCGTACGCGATTTTTATCATTTATTAATGTAAATAGTCTAGAATTTTTGGCTTTTAGTTGTCTGCTTAGAGCTGATTAAATGATAAAGATTTCGCACAAACCACAAAAAACCAAATTATAATTCGCGCGCGCGTTTTAGTTCGAGCACGGCGCATGCGCAACGTTCCAATTGAAACTGAGGCAAAAGCGCGGCTGCGCGTTTCGTTTATTTGAAATTGTTGCAGCTTGCGCCAAGCAGTGTATGCACTGCTTGCTTTTCGACAGCGCGAGAGCATGCGCCAGCCGCTCTCTCTCCCACTCTCACTCTCTTGCTGTATTTGCATTTTCGACTGCCATTCGTGCGGTCAGCAAACGCGTGCTGTGCGATCTGCCGACGTCAACTGTTGATAGTGCTGCTGCCTTCCTCTCTCGCGCCGCAACGTTGGGTATTTTATTATGTTTTTTTGTTGTTTTGCTTTGCCTTTGCATTGCCCTAGGTCAGGTCTGTGTTTTGTTTTTACTACCGTTTCGTTGTAGCTGTCTTTTGAGGCTTGTAATGAATCCATTAACAGGCAATTACCAATGCTACTTTTTAAAACTGATTGATTCTGCATTTTATGGACCTGAGCCGGAGGCTAATTCTATCTCTTTATGTTATGCATTGCCGCCTTTCACTGTGCGATAATTAACCTTTGCGCTTTTCATGAAAATCACAAGCCACAAAATATAATCAGCTTCGTAAGTAATAAAACATACAAAATTTGATTTCGACACGCAATATTATGTTGTAACAAAGAAGCCTCTTGAAATTGTAGTGCAGCTTATTGTTATATAGTGCAGTATAATATATGTGTTCCTATACATATTGGATTACAGCATACGTCATTTGTGGTTAAATTTAAGGTTAGACTTGAGTTGATCTTCCATGTTCTCCAGTCTAATAATAATAAAATCTATAGAAAAAAGATGTTGAGAAATTTCAATAAATCTAGCTTGTAAAGTAACAAGTCAGTACTAGGTGTTATCGATTGCATAATACTCGTTCACCTTTGGGAATCTCTTTCAATCTTTGTTAGCAGTTTGCAGTAAATTAACTCTAGCTTTGAAAGTTTGAAGATATAGTTCGATTTGACAGCCTAAAATGTGCGTATATTCCTCTATTGCATATTTTAAACCAACACAACCATATATTCCAAATTTAAACTCTATTTAGTATTTAATATTTCACGATTTGCCAGACAAATCCAATATACCTTTTTTCTTCTTGAACGACTATACAAAGAGTATTTTAGATATGTACAATATCCGCTTATTTGTATTGCTAATAAGGTTTAAGACTTTCAATTTGGAATGTTTAGCCATTAGTATGTAGCCGCGTCCGTTAAGTTGTTAAGTTGTTAATAGATATACGCCCACTGGAGGCGTTGTAAATCAAACATTTGTTTTTTTTTTATACAACATAAACACAGCTATTAATGGCTTTCTTGAAGCTAGGAATTTATAAAGTTTTTGAACTATTACTTAATTATTAATTTGTTTTTTTTTTTTTCATTATTGTTATTTTCTACACATTGAAGAGAGTATTTGCTAAGCGCGCAGCTCTTTGCCATTGATTTTCCAAACTACTTTTTGTTTGACCATCACGCAAGCTTTGCACTTTCTATAAGTTTGTCTTATCTATAAGTCGAAAGCTTAATTTATGGCCACGTTAAGAGGCATGCTCTCATATAATACCTAAAGACATATAGAGACTGCGATGTGTACAGATTATATATGATATACAATGACCTGAAATTATGTTATATTGTTTTCGCTTTTCACACTGAAGTTGATTAATGAATGTCTTTAAATTTTTTCATCATTTACATTTACTTTTAATTCGCTAGTTTTCAAGTTCAATTAGTTAGTTTCCAGTTTAATTGCACGAATAGATTGTAATGGAAATGTTAGTTGTTTTCCCATAAATGAATGCCAAAAACAATTAAAAACTGAGGCAACTCGAGTTCGCGTGTTTAATCACGATCAAGCAACAGATTTCCCAACTCTTTTCTTTTCTTTCAATTTTTATGACCTTAAAGTCGGGAAAAAGCGCCCTAAAAATGTATTGATTGCAATTGATAGTCAGTTAGAGTGAGAGAGGGGGAAACCTGTTGGATTGTTATTCAGTTTCTAAGCCAATCAAGATCTGGGAAAAAAGGAGCAACGTAAAGAACCGATTACTAAATTCAATTTAGTCACAAAGCGCACAGACGACACCTTTGTGGGATTTTCAATTATAATGCCCAGCCAAAGAAATATAACATGCTCTTTTTCCTGCGGCGCTCTTTTATTTGCTTCATTCCTTTTTACTCCTACCTCCTGCACCTACAACTGACACGCAAAGCGCCAAAGGCGTCAAAATAACCCATAAAAAGCAAAATAGAAGAAAAAGTGTGTGTGGAAAACCCCATAAAAAAGGGAGCATAAAAAAACTGAAAGCAAAAACCGAGCTAGCCAAAGCGCTTAAATGGTTTTGAATGGTGGACCTGGACATAGACCTGGACATGGCCAGGGAAATGGAAATGGAAATGGACGCGGATGCGAATGCGAATCCGCTTGGGTCGTCGCTGTCGTTGTCAACATTGTAGCTGCGGTGGCTGTTGGCAAAATGTTGCGGGTGCTGCGGTCGCCAGCTCTGACGGCGCCACATGCTGCATGCCCCCTGCCCAATTCCTGTTTTCTCTTGCAAAAATAGTGCAAGGCAAATCCAGCTCACAAGCTGCAAAATCACGCGCCTTGAATGCCAAACGCAATTGAATGGAACTGCGAGCGGCGAGTGGGCTGCTGCAGCAGGCACCCAGACTTGCACTGAGAACTGACAGACTCTAGATACCCTCTAAAGCATCTTGCTAGTCTTGGCAAATGATAGTTAGTCAAGATAAAACATTTGAAAAATATATGTTATTTAGCTGAAAATACTTATCTTACCTGCTATGATATTCATCTGGCCAATATATTAACAGTTATTCCCAAACACAAATTATGTTTACTTATTTATCGACTCTATTTATATTCAAATGAGTTCCGCATCTTTTCATGTTGCCTAAAATACAACGATTTAGGCTTGTTTTCAATGTTCCGCTTATAATTGATTAATCTCGTCGCCTCTTATCCACAATCTTAGCCAATTAGGTGGAAATATAATGAAAACCCATGATTTTTATTGATAATTAATTGTGTATTACGTTATAGCTCGAACATCTTTAAACACGCATGAATTTTGCGGGTTTTGATCTGAGTTTAGTAAAGTTTTAATGCGTAAATATTAGTAGTCGATTATGCTTATGAATTAATTTACATATGTAATATGTATTTTAAATTTAAAAAAATTTAAATTATATAAATTGTATATCTTTGCTGCTTTGATTTGACAGCACTTGAAAATTATTTAAGAGGTATAGAAATGATTGGCTAACTAGCAATGAATCAAAACAAAAAACAAACTATTTATGCATAAAATAAATAATTTTGTAAACAAAATTAGAAAAATTCGAAGAAAATTTTCACTAATAAATTCCAAAAACTTAAACTTTTTTATATTGAATAACAAAATAGTTTTAATAATTTAAAATAACAAACCAAAGCCAACAATTGTTTGCAGATCAACTTATGCATAATACTTATTTTTAGTGCATTCTACAGTATCTGCCCGTCGATCAACAAAGATCTTTTTCACTTTCTGCTAGTTATGTTATGCCAATTGCCGCATTTGTTTGCCTGCCCGCAGAAAAAAACATGCAACTAACAAGTCGCCGGGCAAACTACGGCGGAAAAGTATTTGTGTGTGTGGGCAGGTCCGTCCGTGCGTCCGTTCGTCCGGCTGGGCGTGGGAGCTCAGTCAGTGCTGCAAAATCAATTGGCATTTGAAAATTGCACGCCTTTGAGTTCGTTTGAGTTCTTTATAATTGAAATATGGCCAGCAAAGCGAGGGAGGAAGAGCAGGCAGCGAGCGGAAGTAGTCAGAGTAGGGGCTGGCTAGAATTGTATAGCCAAGCTACTTACTACATTTATGTTTTAGGCCAACAATTGAGCCAGGCAATTAATGCAATTGTGTGAGCACGTCTTCGTTCAGCTGCTGTGTCTCTGGCTGCATTAAAAATATCATCATGCAAC